CCCACTCCATTTTCTAAAAGAGTTGCATCCTGTGTTATTCCCTTTCCTTTCCAAATGCTTGCATCACCTAGTGAAGCTCTCTGGACCTCAAGTTCTTTTGGTGAAAAATTGAATTCAGTATCTTTAATTGATAGAGGAAATTTAAATATCATTATTCTCAGATCAGTTTCAATAATCTGTGTCTTCCAAGGAGTTTATAGTTTCATGTAAATTGTCAATTTCATTAGCATAGAGTTGTTCAGATTATCCTGGTGGTATTCTTTCAGTGCCCTCTCTGTGCAGTCATGTTCACTGTCTCACTCCTCACAGTTGCAGTTTTTCTTTCTCTGTTCTTGGTAAATCTCGATTGGTATTCATCTGTTTTACTATTTTTTTCCATTCACCAACTTTGGGTTAATTCATTTTCTTCATTGTTTCTGTTTTATATTTCATATTTTATTATTCTTACAACTACTTTTCCTCAACATATTCTTGGTTTAATTAATTGTTAAAAACAAGGATTATTTACTTATATTCTTAAAATAAAGGCTGTGATCATTTATTTTATACCATTTTTCTTTTCTAATACAGGAATTTTTATAATTCATACATTAGAGTTATAAATTTATCTTTATGCACGGTTTCAGCTTCATTCCATGAATTTTTATATACTTTATTTCCAAAATTTTGTCTTACTTTCTTCGTGAGATTTGTTCTCAACTCATTAGTTTTTTGGAAATGTATTTTTAAATTTGAAAATATTGGGGTGTGTGTGGCAGGAAGACAGATCTAGTTTTTTTCCTAAGTATTTGTTTATTTACTTGTTATTTGAAATGCAGAGTGACATGGGAGAGGGGTAGAATAGAGAGAAAGAAAAGAGAGAAACAGATATTCCCTCTTCTGGTTCACTCCCCAAATGGCTGCAGCAGCAAGGACTGGGCCTGTCTGAAGATAACCAGGAACACCACCCAGGTCTCCCATGTGACTGGCATGCACCCAACTAATTGGGCCACATTTTGCTTTCCTAAGCACATTAGCATGGAAACTGGATCTGAAGCAGAGCAGCTATTACTTGAACCACACTCCAAAATGGGATGCCAGCTTCAAAAGTAACAGCATAAACAATTGTGCCACAATGCTGGCCCCATTAGGTTTCTTTTGCTTACTAACTAAATATAATTTTTGTTGGGAAATACATACTATGTAATTCAGTAATTGATTTATCGCATATCATACTGTCCACCTATGAATATTATACCTATAATTGAGATTTATATATATTCTAACTTTGTTGGGTAGAATCTTCTATAAATGTCAATTAACTCAAAGTAGTTGATATTGTTATTCAAATCTTCCATGTCCTGATTGATTGTTTTGAACTATTTATTCTGCCTGTGTTTCCCTTTAATTCTATAAATTTTTATATTATGTAATTAGAAACTTTGCTTTTCATTGCATAGCCCTTTTTTTTTTATTGCTGTCTATTTAATTAACCTTTTACCATTATAAGATGGAGTCTTTATGTCTGATAATACCCTTCACCTTAAATGCTACTTGGGCTGATTTTACTTTTGTCTGACAAGTTTCTTCATGCTCAGCTTTTCAATCTTTATGTGTGTGTGTGTGTGTGTGTGTGTATAAAATGTATGATTCTTGTTTAAAAAAAAAAGTATTCCTTTTATCCATCCTGTCAATATTTGCTTAATAAGTGAGAGGTTTAGTTCATTTCAATTCTAATCATTAAAAAATTCTAATCTTGACTTTTTAAAAAATATATACTTATTTATTCATTTAAAAGTCAAAGTTACAGAGAAGGGAGAGAGGCAGAGAGAGAGCTTTCATCCTTTGCTTATCTCCCCAGATGATTGGGCCAGGCCAAAGCCAGGAGGCAGGAGCTTCTCCCAGATCTCCCACATGGGTGTCAGGGGCCCAAACATTTAGACCATCTTCCACTGCTTTTCCCAGGCAATTAGTAGGGAACTGGATTGGAAGTGGAACAGCTGGGACACAAATGGATATCCATATGGGATGTCAGCAACCCAGGAGATAGCTTTACTAGCTATGCCATAGCACAGGGCCCATTGACATGTTTTAAAGCCTACTGTCTTAGTGTTTGATTTCTGTTTATCCAATCTGTTCTTTGTTAATCTTTTCCTATTTTCTTGCCTTGCCTTTATTTTGGAGGTTTTTTTTTTAAACCCAATTTTAATACTTCTACTAACTTTTCATTCATGCATTTTGTGCAATTTCTTTGCGATGCTTTAGGAACTATAATACACATCTTTAACCTATCACAATCAGCATTAAAGGACATTATATTGTTTCAGGGAATGTTTAATGTTTTGATAATGTATTTCCAAAAATTAACCCATATATTATTGCTACATATTCTATTTTTTAAAAACATGTTAAGGAGCTGGTGCTGTGGCATAGTAGGTTAAGTCTCTGCCTGCAGTGCCGGCATCCCATATGGGCACCAGTTCATGTCCCGGCAGCTCCTCTTCTGATCCAGCTCTCTGCAATGCCCTAGGAAAGCAGTGGAAGATGGTCCAAGTCCTTGGGCCCCTGCAGCTGTGTGTGAGACATGGAGGAGCCTCCTGGCTCCTGGCTTCAGATCAGTTCAGCTCCAGCCTTTGCGGCCCCCTGGGGAGTGGATGGAAGACCTTTCTCTCTGTCTCTCCTTCTCTACCTCTCAAACAAATAATTAAAATATTTAAAACATGTTAATTTATTATTATTGTTGTTGCTTTAAAAATCTCACTGTTGGTCTCAAAGAACTGGAGGTTGGGAGTAGCTTACTTGGGCAGAAAAATGATGTAATCAAACTAGACTGCAAGCAACACTTTATGATGGTATAACATCCTATACAAAACAAAGAGCCTGCCCAATGACTACATCTTTTGGCATTCTCTCCTCAATGATGTGATGGAATCCAGAACTGACCCTACAAATTAGTAATCCCCTAGCACTATGAACTGTTCACAGGAAAACAGAGAGAGAGAGAGAGAAACAAAGATAGATTCATGATGGAAAAGAAAGTGGAGATGATTCATTTCATTTTTTATTTTGTTCTTATTCTTTTTCCTTTAGCATTCATTAATTAAATCAGGCACAGTGTTAGATATTACTAGGTATATTGTTGTAAACAAGACATGCAAATATAAAATTTGTGTACTTACTTGAAAATAGATCTTAGCAAAAAATAAGAATGGGAATAGGAGAAGGAGGAGGAAGAATGGGAGTGTGCATGGGAGGGCAGGCATAGTGGAAAGAATCACTATGTCCCTAAAGTTCTACTTATGAAATGCATGAAGTCTGTATACATTAAATAAAAAATTTCTAAGGGAAAAAAATAAAATTATATCATCAAATGTTAAAAAAACAGAAGACTGGGCCTAATTTCATATACCAAATTGGTGAAGCAGGAAAATTTTTTTACAATCATAATTTGTGAAGAACATTTGAAATGTGTAATATTTTACACAATTCTCTAGAAAATTGTGGTTGATATAATACTTTTTTAAAGATTTCATTTATTTATTTATTTGAGAAGTAGAGTTTCAGAGGGAGAGAGAGTCAGAGAGAGAGGTCTTCAATCCACTGGTTTACTCCCCAAATAACTGCAACAGCCAGAGCTGAATCAACCCAAAGCCAGGAGTCAGGAGTTTCTTCTGGGTCTCCCACTTGAGTGCAGGGGCCCAAGCACCTGTGTCATCCTCCACTGCTTTCCCAAGCCATTAACAGATAGCTGGATCTGAAGAGAAGAAGTTAGGACTAGAACCAACACCTATATGGGATGCGGGCACTGCAGCTGGAGGCTTAGCCCACGGTGCCATAGTGTGGGCCCCTGATACAAAACTTTTTATGAGTATACCATGTAATGAAGATACACAGAGATAATTTCACAGATGATTCAGATCCCATTTAGCATACAGTGGTTTTTCAAACAAAAATAAATATTTTCAACCTACTCCTTTCTCTGTTCTAATTAAAGTCAAACACCTCAATCATATAAGGATTTAATGTGTAAGAACAAACATATTTTAAGCTCTCCTCCAATCTGCTATAGGTTCCTGATTATTAAATGTGTTACCATATATGAAGAGATAGCAGAGCATTGGAGAAATCCGGAGGTTACTGAGGTAGTGGGAAAGCAGGGGCACTAAGAGAGGAGGAATAACTTAGGGTAATGAGAAGAGAATAAATGAAGGAACTTCAGTCACAACTCCCCAGCTGAACTTTAGGGAGATCCTAGGTAAAGGTTTAAAAAGAAAAAAAAAAAGAAACACTTTTCTGTTGTTGTTATTCACTTGTTTTGTACAAGAAGACAAGACAAGAATTGTCTTTTGATTCTGCTCTAAAATATTAATTTGCAGGAACAACATTGTGACAGTTAGGCTGCTACCTAAAATGCTGTCATGCTACATCAGAGCTCAGTTTGAGTTCCAGCTACTTAGCTTCTGATCCAGCTCTCTGCTGATGCACCTGGGAAAGCAGCAGAAGAAGGTCCAAGAGCTTGGCCCCCTGAAACCACGTGGGAGACAAGATGGAGTTCTGGCTTCTGTGAACCAACAAATGCAAGTGTCTAACTCTCTCTTACTTTCTCTCTCTCTCTCTCTCTCTTTCACTTCCCTTTCAAATTTTCAAATAAATAACTATTCTTTTAAAAAGATTTAATTTGTTTTTCTGTACTTTATTAAATGGGTGTTTTATGCAGTTTTGAAACAGATACAATGTTACAACGGGCCATGAGAGACATGAGACTTGTTTGTTTCATGTAGTTTACATTCTTTAAAGAATTGCACACTAAAAAAAAAATCTACTAAATCAATTACACACTTTCAGAGTTTTGGCGAATGAATAAATGTACACAAACCAAGTGCGATGTTAATGCTAAAAGTAGAAGTCATTAAGATAAACTTCATAAGAAATATCAGATGCAAATTTTGGCTTTTTTCTTCATTTTCCTAACAACATAAACTAAACACATTCAGTAACATTTAAATAGCAAACTTCCTTACATGATTTGGAGTCTGGTGATGGTGGTGAAATATTAGACACAGCGAGGTCACTTTTTGATTTTTTAGGCTTCTTTGCATTTAGTTGCCAAGGTTTATCGTAGCTCCTGATATCCCTTCTTGTTCCCTTAGGTTCTGTTAAAATAAAATATAGACAAAAACTCAATAGTGAGGAAGAAAGAAACTTGGTCACAAAATAAAGTATATCCTGATATGAAAGAAAACTAAAAACATCCAGGGAGAAATTAGATACTGATTTTGTAACTTTTCTTATTCTCCACTTATATTAAGGAAAAAAAGTTTTACATAAAGGAAGGAGGCCAAAAAAAGAATCTACTTATACAATTTAGCTCATTTTAAGAAAAATTTAATATAAAAACAAAAATATAGCATTCAATGGGTCCGGTGTTGTGGTGTAGTGGGTTAAGCCATCACCAGGATGCAACACCAGCATCCCATATGGGCACCTCTTCAAGCCCAGCTATCCCTGGTCCAATCCAGCTCCCTGCTAATAGCTTGAGAAAAGCAACAATAATGTCTCAAGTTTTTGGAACCCAGCCAGCCATGTGGGAAATAAGGAAGAAGTTCCTGGGTCCTGGCTTTAGCTTGGTCCAGCCTGGCATTTGTGGTTATTTGGGGAGTGAACAGAGGATGAGAGATTTCTCTCTCCCTGTCTCTCTCTCTCCCTCGCTCTCTCCCTCCCTCCCCCCCCTCTTTCCCTCTCTTTTTCTTTGTCTCAGACCTACTCTTTCTGTAACTCTGACTTTCAAATAAATAAATGAATCTTAAAAAGAAAAAAATATAGCATCCAGCTATATGTCAGCAAGCTGAAAAACTATAGTAGCCTCCTCTCTTCCTAAATCCTCTCCAAGAGAAGAGTCAGTAAGTCCTTGTACTAGGCAGCATTTTAAGGTAATTAATGGAAAAATATGGTAACTCTTAGCCATAATCTCTGTCCTCTGGCATTATGCCCTGTGATAGCACGCTTTAAAAATGCATAAAAAATGAAATTAAAATATGTTTATTTTGCTGCACAGATTCTGAAACCCATACCGTTTTTCTCATAATATACATCTTTCATGAAATTCTTGAAGACTCTTCATATGCATGGATTTAAAAAAATTCACCAAAATAAGCTTTTGCTTTAATTCTTTGTTTCCATGAACATTTTAAAGGCCTCTCATACTATTCCTGCCCATTGAGTGCAGACAGGACCTTTGACCTGCCTCAAATCATTAAAATATGACAAGGATGTTGTTAGGATGTCAATGTTGTGATCACCTTGTATTATATAAGACTCCATCTAGCAGCCTGGAGAGAGAAATTCCCCTGCTGGCTTTAAAGAAGTGAGCTGTCATGATGCGACAGAGTTATTTGGCAAGGAACTATGGACTGTATCTAGGAGCTCACAGCAGACCCTGGCTGAATTCCAGCAAGAAAACAGGGATCTTAGGCAGGAAGTTAATTCTGCCAACAACTCAGATGAGCTTGGAAGCGGATTATTTTCTGGTCCAGACTCCAGATGAGAATGCAATCCAGCCAGTGTCTTGATATGCAGCCTCATGAGGTTAAAAGATGAGTTAGCTATGCTGTGCACAGACTTCTAATGTTCGAGGACACTGAGACGGGAGCAGGTTAGAAGTGCAGAGTTTAATAATGCACTCCCATCACTCTAGATACTACAGAGTCTAGAATATGGGTTCATATAAACTTAAGTTGGCTGACAGATATCCGTCTGCTTTCACATGGTAGGTACAAATTCAGCACCTACAAAACAAAGCCCATGCTTTTAGACTCACCCTACTTAGAATCTGAACCCAAGAAAGTAGGGTTAAGAAAACAAAAACAATATTTCCTTCTTTTGAATACCAAAAGCTCATATTCTATTTTCTTGTATGTTTCAAATAAGTTTTTCATGGAAACCAACACCATAGATGTCTACATCCTTCAGGGAATGTCCCATTCTCAATCCCATTTATGGCAGCATTGAGACATGGTCTCAGGAAGGCACTGATTTGACAATACACTCAAGGAGGACCAATATCTTCTCACAGGATCCCATTGAGCATGAAGAAGAGAAGTGATGGTGAAATCTCTGGGAAACATTGGAGTCCAATAAGTCAAATCTCCTTGAGAAGCAGACCAGGAGATGTTTATGCAAATAACAGACATGAGGGAATTTGGGTTTAAAAGTAAATACCAAACCAACAGAATAATGTGCAGAAGAAAAAAGCTGCTGAACACATATTTTACAAATAAAGATTTAAGTTAAATTTAGCCAATTATTTCACTATTATTCACTAGGAAATTCAAGTATTATAGACTTGGAATGTTGGTTCCCCAGTGTACAGAGTGAGTGAATCTTCCTAAAGTTGAACTTCCTACAGAGGGAAAAAGATGAGGTTTGTGGATCTAGAGAATATGATGGTACTTCCAAAAGGTTATGGAAAGTTGAATAACAAGGTAAATGTTAATAAAAATGTCTTTGAAATCTGTGCATTGTTTTTTTCATAATACACATTTCCCATGAACTTTTTGAGGGCCTCTCATATACATGGGTTTCAACATTTTTTTGCAGTAAAATACACTTATCTTTTAATTCCATTTTTCCTCTCTGCTTCTTGAAGAGCCTCACAATTATCAGTTTAGGCAATGAGAAAAATAATTTTGTGAAAATCTACTGTGTATCTTTCTATAAAGATGAACTCTAAGCATTTAAATAAAATTCTTCACACAAAGAAAAATAAGTTTATGATTATTCATTTGAATTAATATGAAATGAAGTCTCATGCAAATTAAATTCTATTTTAGCAAAATTGGATACACTGATTCTTGAATTTTGAAGTATAATATTTTATCACATATTTAAATTAAAGAATGTTTTATGACAAATGTTAGCATTTAGATAAGGTCACACATGAACATAAGAAAACCCTAAGTAACTATGCATCTAGATTTCTCTTATTATAACCAGAAGACCTTTGATAAAATTTTACATTATATATATCCAAAATTAATTGCAAAAAGCATGGTTTCATTTACCTGATGTCTCACTTTCTGCCCAGAGAGCTGCAGATCCAGACAAAGTTCTTTGCAATTGTCCTCGGTGTCCTTGCTTAGACTGAAGATGGTCAATGAGAAACGGGATAGGCTGGTCAGGTGTCTCAGTTATTAACTTGGTCATTAATTCCTGAAGGCACAACAAATGGCACGTTTACATCTAACAGGAACAGCAACAATAACTGCAAACATTAACAGCATTTACTACTGCTGGGCACTATTCCATTTAAATACAACAACTAGTTTGATCTTCATAATAATCTTTTCAGGCAGTTACACATTACTGTCCTCACTTGACACAGCTAAGATGTAGCAAAAGCAAGATACAGTTACATTCATTTTTATTATAGTTGGTCAAAAACATACTAGAAATTTTATCTAAATTCTTTTTAAAAATTATGGTCTAAGAACCTTAAACCTCAATTACCATTTTGAAAAATACCTTTAGAGGTTAAACTTGCATAAATTTCACCAAGTACCTTATAGATCAATATTGTTTTCCCCTCTCAATCAATCGTAAATATCCCCAAGGGAAGGAAATCTTGTTGGGATGAAATAAACAAGTAATAAATCACAGAATCACAGAAATCAAATGTGTCTTAAAGTAGTCTCCGATTAATACGGAATTTTCTTTTTTACAAAATGTCCTGATAACCAACTTACCTTCCTTCCTTTCCCTCTTCTTCCCCTACCTGCCTCTCCATTTCTTAATGAGTTAAGCAGCTGATCTCTCTACTTGAAAGCCAGGCCGATCCTTTTTCAGACAGCTCTAATGATACCTTAAATTACACGGAAATCTCCTCAAGGGTAGTATCTACCTACTGTTTTTTTGGGGGTTTGTTTTTTTTTTTTTTTTCCAGTGAGGAACAGCAGAGAGCAGCCTCTAATTTGTGGTCAATTAGAATGCCCCGTACTGTTCAAATATGAATAGCTGAGAAGCCACATGGATATCATTTTGGGTTTTGTAATTGGGTTTGTGAACTTACATGCAGCATTTTACAGTCATATAAGTCACAGGCCATCCTGTTAATTTTAGCTGAGAATTCTAGTCTGTCAATTGTCATGTTTAAGTTCAAATACTGTGAGAGGCAGGAGTTCTACAGAATAAGCCAGACATATCACATACTTGGAATGCAAATGGAGGGTTACTGGAAATTCCATATCTCATTGTCTTTTTATTTTTGTTGGTAGCTTAATTCCTCTGTCTTGAATCTCTCAGATGTTCAGGTGGCTGGCTTGTCATTATTCAGTTTCAAGTGATACCTTAGTGAGGTTTATCCTAGCTAATCTTTGTATCTCTAACTTTATTATTTTAGTTTTTTCACTCTACAGAATTGTTTTGTTTAATGTTTGCTTACCTGCTTGTTGCCTGTTTCTCCTCCTCAATTCAGGATTTTCCTAGTTTGGTGTCTACTTTCTCCCTAAGGTCTAGAACTCTATCTAGCTTATAACATTCATTGAATTAAAAAGCAAGAAAGAAAAGGAAAAAGGAGAGAGGGAGGAAAGGATGAAAGGAAGGAAAGAAACTAGGAAGGAAGGAAGGAAGGAAGGAAGGAAGGAAGGAAGGAAGGAAGGAAAAGAATGGAGGGAGGAAGGGAAGTGACTAGTTTATTGATTGCAGGTAGATATTAGTAAGTTAAATACCTTCTTGTACCATTCAATAGGTATTATAGCAGTCATGGATTTTTCATCTCCACCAAACTATAATCTGACCTCCTATACAAGAAACTGCTGCCATAATTTTTTCAATGATATTTGTTTATACTTATAACACTCTAGGAACACAACCTTATCCAAGTAGGTGCTAAAGTGATTTTATAGATGATAAGATCCCAAGTTGATCATAGAGACATAGATAAAATAATCCACATATCTCAAAAACATGCAGATTGAACATAGAGTTGCAACTAAAGAGTAAAGTATTTATACCATAAATACCCTATAATACAAAATAAACAAACTTGGGGCGATTGCTGTGGAATAGTGGGTTAAGCCACTGTCTGCAGAGCCACCATGCAACAGAGCACCAATTCAAGTTCCAGCTGATCCACATCCAATCCAGCTCCCTGCTAATGCACCTGGGAAACAATTGGAGGAGGGCTCAAGTCCTTGGGCCCCTGCACCCATGTGGGAGACCCAAAGAAGAAGCTCCTAGCTCCTGGCTTCAGATCAGCCCAACTCTGGCTGTTGTGGCCATTTGGGGAGTGAACCAGCAGAAAGAGGGCCTCTCTCTGTCTCTTTCTCTGTCTCTCTTCCCTCTCTCCCTCTTTCTCTGCCATTCTGACTTTCAAGTAAGTAATTAGATATTTAAATATAAATAAAAAATTTATCTTTACTTTTACTTTCCATAAACCTTTGAAATATCTTTTATATCAGTGGAATACAACTTAACATATTTTATATTTTGCTTCTATAGAAGAGATAGGTTATATTCTATCTGAATTCATGATACACTATGAAAGTCACTAGAAACTGGAAATAAAAATAAACATAAGTAAAAACTATATTACTTTTGTAACAAAAGGCATTATCCGGACACTCAGATAAAGTAAAATTAAATCAGATAAAAGGGCTTTAAAGGCACAGTAATTTCTTCCTGGAGACCTCTGAAGTTTTCATACATTTTCTTTTAATTATTTTTTAAATGGAAAGTTTCTGGATTTTTACATTATGTATTTATTTTACTTGAGAAGCAGAGACCCAGAGAAGAGAAAGGGAACAGAAAAGAGAGAACTCTCATCTACTAGGTGACTTCCCAAACGCATGCAACAGACCCTGTCCGGGGCCTACCCTGGGGCTAGGAACTGAATCCAGATCTCCCACATGGGTAGAAGGGAAACCATCACTAGAGCCAACACCTGGTGCTGCCCAGAGTGCACATTAGCAGGAACCTGGAATCTGGAACAAAACTGAGACTAGAACCCAGGCACTCCATATATGGAACACAGGTATCCCAAGAAGTGTCAACTGCTAAGCCAAATGCCTGCAGTTAATAAGTTGAAGTGTTCCTATGTTCTGTTTTGAAGGTGGATTATGGGGATTCCAAGACCATGGGATAATGACAGAGCAGTCTGCTCCAAGCTAGGTGAAAATAGTAAAAAAAAAAAAAAAAAAAAAAAAAAAATGGAGAAAGTACATTCTCAGGGGGAAGTGCAGGGAAAACTGCAGTGGCGATTCTGCAGAAGCAAGAGATGCCCAGCATGAACACGGACACAACAAACAACCCCAGAGTCCTGAACACGAGAAAGTGCCAGCTTTACAGAGCAAGGTGAGATCAGACTGCAGGGGCCTTGCCACTGCTGATATAGCCAGAAGGGGAGCTTAACGCACTAGATTGTCCTTGAGCCTAGCCCAGAGACCTGAGGGGAACAGGGTACCTGCCTACCCAGAGCGGAAATAAGGGCATGTCTCTCTCTCCCAATCCTCCTCCTGCCCTCATAACAGTGCCTGGCACCCAACTGTGAGAGGGTGGGCGCCATCTTGGACATAAGCAGATAACAGCTGCTGCAGCTCTTGTGTGCACACCCAGCAACTACAGGGGACAGTCTCCATCTTGTTAGCTCTTGTTAGCAGAGACAACCGCAGCAACTGTGCTGCACCCACCCCGCCACGGGCAGGGGGAAGGAGACACTCTGGCATTACTACTGCCTGCAGACTTGTACATGCCCAGCATGATTCTGAAATGAGTAGAGCTGTGGCCAGCGGGTATTGTGCACACATGTGACTCAGGGATTTTATAAGAGAGAAAAAAATCTGTGGCCCCAACTGATTTTGAGTCTAGCAAGGAGGATTGACAGGGGGCTGGGCAGCCACATACAACTGTGAGGTGCCCCCAACCTCTCAACAAATCACAGGCTTTGGGGCTCCAGGGCTCAATCCACATAGGCACAACACCCACAGGCAGTGGGCTCTTGTCTTGTAACCTTTCAGTCTCTCTGTGGTCAGGTCAGGTGAGCAGGGAAGAGTGGATCGTCTTGCACTCTGTGACTATGGAAGCCCAGATGTTGAGACTGAAAGAACTCTTTGACTACATGAGAAGGTGCAGGATGTAGCTAGATCCCTGGGTAACCACTTTGAGCAGCTCCACATGCTCACAACTTCCTGACTGCCTGGGGTTTACTGCAGTGGGATCCAGCCTCACACTGAGAAATGCAGAGATCTTTTCTGCGGTCCATGTGGAAACAAGGGTGACTATTACACCCACTGAGGGCTAACACTCAGGCGTTAATTACCTTGGAAGAAGGAAGTGAAGTTGTAAGCGCACCAATACAGGTAACCATACCCATCTTCTGTTAACAAGAAGAGATCTACCACATGCAACTTTGGTATCACTCTCAAAACTCACCCTACCCTGGGACACTGACCAGAGCTCCCTCACCACATCCAGAAAACATCTCTGGATATTCACTCAAAGAGTGTGTATTCCACTAAGCCACAGAGCATAGTTCAAAGATAAAAGCCACCAGAGGAAAAAAAAACAACAAAGATACCCACCAATGCATAAAAATAAATGTAGAAAATCAAGAAATAACATTAAAGAAGATAACAAGACACCCCCAAAAGAACACAACAACACTTCAATGATAGAATGTGAATATGAAGAGACTGATGAAATGTCTGAAATGGAATTCAAAAGATTAATCACAGGATTATTCAGAAGCAATCAGAAGCAAATCTATGAATTAAAGAAATCCATGCATGACACAAATGAAAAATTTTCCCATGAAATTTAGATTTTAAAGAGATATCAAAATGAAATATTAGAAAATAAGAATTCAATAGATAACATATAAAAAGTGGTGGAAATCCCTAACAATAGATTCAGTGAGACAGAAGAAATGATATCTGATCTAGAAGACAAATCTTTGGAAATTTTCAGTCAGGAAAAAAAAAGAAATCAGAAAAAATAAAAACAATGTTGAAGGATTTGGGGATACTATCAAAACACAACATACAGGTCTTAGAAGTTCCTCAAGGAGTTAAAAGAGAGAATGGATTAGAAAACCTATTTAATGAAATAATTATAGAAAACTTCCCCAATTTGGAGGGAAAAAAAGGATTTCCATGTAGAGGAAGCACATAGAACTCCGAAAAGGCATTACCACGATATATTTAATTTAACGTTACACA